GCTAGGTTGCTTCTCTCCTTGATTAGTTTCCATCCGTTGCTTCTTGTCCTGCCTTCAGGCACCTTGGAAAATAGCTTGACTCCCTCTTCTTTGTGGTAGCCCCTGAGATATTGGAATACTGCTATCATGTCACCCCTCATCCTTCTCTTCATATTAAACTAGACATACCCAATTCCAGCAGCCGTTCCTTATATGCTTTAGCCTCCAGTCCCCTAATCATCTTTGTTGCTCTTCTCTGTACTCTTTCTAGAGTCTCAACATCTTTTTTACATCATGGTGACCAAAACTGGATGCAGTATTCGAAGTGTGGCCTTACCAAGGCATTGTAAAGAGGTATTAATACTTCACGTGATCTTGATTCTATCCCTCTATTAATGCAGCCTAGCACTGTGTTGGCCTTTTTGGCAGCTGCAGCACACTGCAGGCTCATATTTAAGTGATTGTCCACTAGGACTCCGAGGTCCCTCTCACAGTTACTACTATTGAGCAAGGTACCCCCTATACTATACCTGTACATTTGGTTTTTCTTACCTAAATGTAGAACCTTACTTTTTTCACCATTGAATTTCATTTTGTTAGATAGCGCCCAGTGTTCAAGTCTGTCCAGATTCTCCTGTATCCTAAGCCTGTCTTCTGGAGTGTTGGCTATTCCTGCCAGCTTGGTGTTGTCTGCAAATTTTGATGACTTCCCCATCTATCCCCTCGTCCAAATCGTTGATGAAGATGTTGAAGAGCACTGGGCCCAGAACAGAGCCTTGAGGCACCCCACTACACACTTCCCTCTATGTAGATGCGGTTCCATTGAGGACCACACGTTGAGTACGGCCGGTCAGCCAGCTACGGATCCATCTGGTGGTGATGCTGTCTAACCCACATTTTTCTATCTTATCAAGTAGTAGGTTGTGATCTACTTTATCAAATGCCTTACTGAAGTCCAAATAAATTATATCCACAGCATTCCTCTGATCCACTAATTTTGTCACTTGGTCAAAGAATGCAATAAGATTTGTCTGGCATGATCTATTTTTGACAAACCCATGTTGGCTTTTAGTAATGACTTTGTTTGCCTCTAGGTGTTCACTGATTCGTTGTTTGATTATCTTTTCCAGGATCTTCCCAGGTATTGAGGTCAGGCTGATAGGTGTGTAATTTCCTGGGTCCATTTTTTTTCCTTTTTTTGAAGATGGGAACTACAGCTCTTTTCCAGTCCCCCGGTAGTTCCCCAGTGCTCCAGGATCTTTATATGGATAAAGTCATTTATCCATATATAATGTTTGCAGCATTATTTAAACCTGTCTTCCCCATTCCAATGAACTCTGTATATATAAGTTCTAGAATTTCTGACCAGCACAGAATTGGTATTAACTACAAATTCTGGGAATAGTATTGCAACACAATTGATGGGTTGGGCAATGCTGATATAATTAACAGCTATAATTTTGGGCTTCTCTTTAGTCAATATTCAAGCAGAATACTCTACTTGCCATAAACAACTATCTTAGGAATATTTTCATTCTGATTCTTGCATTGATCAGGGAATTAGACTTTGTAGCCTAAATGGCCTCTCACAATGTTGCTTTGGTTTCTCTCTCCTCTGTTTATTGCATGCTAGTTTAATGCTGGAACATAAGTTACAATCGTCACAGGAATGGCATTTAAATACAGGTAGTCCTCAACTTATAACCGCAATTGAGCCTAAAATTTGTGTTGTTAAGTTTTGCCCCGTTTTATGACATTTCTTGCCACAGTTATTAAGTGGATCATTGCAATTCATAAGTTAGTAACCTGATTGTTAATTGAATCTGGCTTCCCCATTGACTTTGCTTGTCAGAAGGTTGCATGATCCCAGGACACTGCAATAGACATAAGTATGAACCAGTTGCCAAGCTTCTGAATTTTGATCACATGATCATGGGGATGCTGCAAAAGTTGTAACTGTGAAAAACGGTCATAAGTCACTGTTTTAAGTGCTGTTGAAACTTTGAACAGTCACTAAATGAACTGTTGTAAGTTGAGGACTACCTGTAAAGGGTTCCCTTATGATATATTGGATGAATGAATATCTGCACGATATACAGTACAGCTCCCATATCCTATTCAACTGTTTTTCTGATGCCCCATAAAAGCCTGGCATCCAACACTAATGATACTGTCAAATAATGCCAAATTTGTTTTTAGCAATTTGGTTCTGTATTTGCTGTATTTTTTATACCTAGGACACACAAACACACATACACACACACAAACACACACACACACACACACACAAACACACACATTTTTATGGGTGTAATCTGTGTAAATATATTTTGACAAGCTATTATCTTATGTAAAAGTTTAAAAATAGTCAATAGTCCATCTTTATGATATGCAACACTGAACGAAAAGCATCATTAAAAATAAAGCAGCAACAATAAAAGACAATTATTAAAAGTATTCATCATGCATTTGCAAAATTATGTCAACACTGAGAGTGAAGTTTGCATTATTAATTACTCTAAGAATTAATTATAAAAGAGTGAAAAATAAGTTACGGAAAATGGAGCTCAATATTTATGAAAGGAAAGGAAGAGCTGTTGCCTTTTTAAAAGATCCTTTTCAAAATTCA